GGCAGCTCCTTTCTCCACGAGTTGAACCCCAACCAAAGCTCCAGTCAGGGCCCAGAATGCTGTGCAACTACAGGTGACAACTGTCAGCCTGCTGCAGCTTCCTGCGTGCAAAGGCCAGTGCTGAGGATGGCAGTCAGAACCCTGACCCACCCAGATCCTGGCCCAGCTCCCTCTCTCAGGCCTGATGGCCATGGCTTTACATCTTTCTTTTCAGTCTCCAAGCATCCACTCCGACGTGGGAGCGGATGTTATTCCTGTTTCACAGGTGATTAAACTGCAGCTCAGAGAGGCCAGGTACAATTGTCAAGATCACGCAGAGTGGAGATTTGAACATAGGTCTTTTGTCTGCCAAAGCCCAGGTGCCCATTTCTCCAAGCCAACCCCAGCCTCAGACGGGCTGATGTCCCACTTGCTTCCGTTAAACACCCTCTGCAGGCTGAAACCAGGGCAAAGCCCCCTCAGCAGGAGGTGCCTCGAGTCTGTGTCCTGCAGGCATGAAGGAGTCAGCCAGTGAGGGCAGCCCAGCCCAGCCCAGAGCCCAGGGGCTGGATCCTTTAACCATAGGCGCCCAGAGAAAAGAGCTGAGGGCCTTGCCTGCAAGCACAGGTCTGCAATGTGGCCAGCAGAGGGCGCTCTAGGACCTCGTCAAAAGTCTGGCAACAGACTTCAAACCCCTTCCTTTAAAGGACCCCTTGTCACTCTTTCCTTTAAAGGAACAGGAGGCTCTGCTAACATGCCAACCAGCCCAACTGGGTTGACTCAGCCCTGAGGACAGCGGACAGAGTCCCCTTGGGTGGGGGTACAGGTGGGAGGTCAGTTTGGGGTTCCCTGACTATTTAGGGATTTCCCATTTGTCCTGCCCTTCCCTTCCCCTGTCTCTCCCTCAATGCCCCATTTTGGGGAGCTGACTGGGAGTCAGGAAAGGCTGGTTGTGTGACTCCAGGTAAGCCCCTTTCCCTCTCTGGGTCCAGGTCCCCGCCTGCAAAGTGAGATCAGACTAGATACCTTCTACCCACCCCTGCTCCTTCGTTTTTCTCTATCCACTCCCAGCCCTGCCTATGTGAGACCCTTAGGAGGGGAAGAGGCCACGGCAGGGGAGGAGACACTGGGACTGTTGGCAGCTCCAGGACAAGGCTCCCTGGTGGAGGGAGGTGAGCTCAGGGTAAACTGCAGCTCTAGGAGGGGTCTCGGCCTTCTCTTCCTCCTGCTCCCAAGAGGCAGACAGCTTCATGTGCTCAGCAGGGAGGGGGGTGGGCTCTGCCCGTCTTCTCTTGTCTCTGGGCTCTGCCTCCAGGCTCCACAGGAGCCACGCAGAGCAGAACCTGGGATTGAGGGTTTCCGGCTAATTGGGCTGGTCTTCAGCAACGTTGGTTTGTCTATAAAGACAATCATGCCCTCCAGGGAAATCTGGGCCCCTTGGAGCCTCCTAAGGAGGCAGCTCTCCTCATTAGTGTGGCCGACCTTTGCCTATTCCCTCCCTCTGGGGTCAAGTCTCTTAATTCTGCAAATGACTCAAGCTCCCTTGATCCCCACCTCAGGGCCTCCTTCACTTCCAGCCCCTTACTGGGCAGGAAGCAGGGGTGCCCTCTGCTGACCCACCCTGCAGGCTCAGTCCACTCTCATCAGTCTCCCTTCTCCAGGGCTTGTCTGCATGGGCTCACCCCAGCCTGACCTCTGAATTGCAGACTGTGCTGGATCTAACCAGAAAACACTGACTCCTGGAGGGTGGGCAAGGTGAAAGAAGGGTGAGAGTCATTGTCAAGGACTCCGGGGTGGCTGTGGGCAAGCACACTCATCTGTAGGGAGCAAGGGAGGTGTTCCTGGCAGCCAGTGCTAAGAGGTGGCCGATGCCGTTCACAGAGCTTTCCTGGTAGAACGTCTTTGTGAGAATGTATCTAGAGGCTCCTTTCCTGTTTTTCTTCCTAAAAGTGTTCCTGTTTAGAAGGTTTAAGTTTGGGATTAAGCTGAATTCAGATCCACAAACTAATGTCTTCATCTTAGGTGGGGAAAGAGCTCTCATAGTCTATCAAAGCCCTTAGGATCCCAATTTATCCCCTCTATCTTTGCCTTCCCATGTCTTCCCTATGAGGACGGACCCCAGAGGCTCCCCCAGTGGTTCTCAGCCACTGGATCTGGGCCATCTAGTAGCTGGGGGAGTGGATGCCTGAGCATTACAAAGGGCCTTGCCCCAGGGGCATAGAACATGGATGGCACAGGCTTGTGACCCCCAGGCTGGGCTGACCCACCACCTGGGAGGCTGGTTTTTTAACTGTGGTGCAGAGAACCAATGCCTGATTCCTGGCCTGGAAGGGGTGGATTCCATTCCTCTTGGCTAAGAAAGCTCTGGGTGAGCACAGGTGGGTAGATAGGGGCTCCCCTGAGTGACCTTGAGAGCCCATCCCAGCCAGGACTTTTACAATGTCACTGACTCTCCATCTGGGCCCTGCATATGCTCACACTACAGCATCAATAGGTTCTCTATGCTGGTCCTTGCTTCCAGGTGTGAGGACCCATCCTTTACCCAGATGACAGGATGGAAGCCAGCTCCTTGGAACACAAGCTGGCCATGCTCCGTCCGGTGGGAGTGGCCTCTTAATTGGTGATTTACTGTTTGTGGAATAAGTGGGGCAAGGACTTGGCAAGAAGATGTAGTCTGGAGGGAGGTGGGGGGCTTCAAGGTCAGCTCCCCAGCCAAGCAAAGGTCAAGCCAGAGAAGTGCAAGGAGATGAATGGACCTCCCCAACGTGAGGCTCCTGCTGCAGCCCAGAGCTGGGTGGGGGCCTGGGCCAAGCAGCTCCACACACAGACTCTTTGTTCTCTGCGGGGAGGGGAAAGACCTGTCTGAGTGTAGGGAGTGGAGGGCTGGGGGGAGGCCGGCAGGCGGCTCAGGCCACAGGCCTGGACCAGGGCCCTTTCCTGGGCTGGGAAATCCGGGTGAGGAGGGCCAATGCCTTTCTGTCACTTAAAGAGTTCCCAGGACTCCCTTCCGGGAAAAAGGCAGCGCAGTCCCCTGCTCCTACCTAGCCAGCTCCGGACCAGAGAGGCTGGAACCACGGAAATGCCAGGCCCTTGGGTAATTGGGGCTGGCAGAAAAGTGATCTGGGGAATTACCGGGGTCAGGCGCCCCACCGAAGGCCAGGGCTTTGGAAGGGCGGCTGGCTTGTAATCTCGATTTGAGATCGGGTGATTCTGTCGTTAGTTCCAAAAAGAAAAGTCAGCTCTAATTAATCTGTGGACTTTGGAGTGCAGGAGAAATGGGGCCCAGAGAGCACAGGCTGGGGGCTGGAAATCTGCAGAGTGGAAGTCCCTTCAGCCCCGACAGCCCCGATGAGGCCTCAGATCTGGAGCCCATGTCTCAGCTCCCTGATCTGCTTTAATTGAAATGGCCTGGCTGTCCTCACTGAGATCTCGCGGCTTTGAAAGTGTGCTGTCCCCATCCCAGAAGGCTCCTGTATCTATGGCTTCAGTCTGGATGAAGCACTCTGCACGTGAGCCCAAAAGAAGCCTGGAGTTGCTCAGGTCCCTGGGAGCCAGAGGGGTGCAGGGAGGTTCAGAATAGCTGTGGTGTTGGGCTGAGCCAAGCTGCCTTCTCCTGGCTCTAATGGAAGTCCCGGGACCATGCCAGCTCCTTGCAGGAACCATAGAGGTGAAATCAGTGCCAGTGGGAAAACACCACACTTCCTTGGTTCTTTGACTAAAATGCACCAAGCACCCCATGTTCTCTGCCTTAGACACTCCACATGCTGCTCATAGAGAGCCTGGGAGGCTCAGAGAAAGGAGGGAATCCAGCCACAGCCTTTTTCTCACAAGAAGGTAAATGGCTCGACACTCCCCTCCTTTCCTTCTGGTGGAGGGGGAACTGCCTACTGGAAATCATGGGGACCCCCAGGGCTCATAAGACCCAGGTAATAGTCATTCAAAGCAAGGCTTTGGAGTCAGACAGACCTTACTCCATTACTTCTCAGCTGTGGAACTTTCCAGGTTCACCTCTGTGAGCCTCAGTTTGCTCATCTGTCAATCGGGGAATAAGAATGAAACCTGCCTCACAGGGTTGTTATAAAGATCTAGTAAGACTATGCATGCAAAGTGCCTCACACAAACTGGCGTGTTGAAGAGGCCCCATGACTTTGCTCTAATAATGCCAATTACCATTCTACAGAAGTGTGTCCACCCACACGGCCCCTGGCTCCGACCGGCAGATCAGAACCAACACACCCTTTTGTAGGACAGAGGAGGGGGATGGGGAGGGCTGGTATGGCCAGAAAATGAGGACTGAGGTGGGCTGGGTGGGTGAGCTGCTGTTCCTTACACCTCACCCCAGTGCCCTCGCCACCCAACACAGGGCCCAAAGGACCTCCTCCCCTGGGAGTCACTGTTTCGGGGGTGCCCAGTAGCCTCCAGGAAGGGTGACTGCAGTTACCAGCTGCTCTGCCACGAGGTTTTATATCCTGCCTCCTCTGGTCTGAGAATGCACAGCCCATAGCCTGGAGGGAGTGTGTGCTCGGCCACAGTCCTGCATGCAAACCCGGGGGCTTAACACCCAGACTGCCACATGCATCAAACGCACCCCCACGGCTGAGACAGACTGACCAGCTCTATGTGCTTAGAGATCAGCTCTCACCAGGTTTGTGATCCACATACAGTCTGACAATACTCGTCAATCCTCTCGAAAGAGAGCCAAGGTTGTAATGTTTTAAACACACTCCGAGTCTTGCAATATATTTAAAGTTGATCGGCGTCATAAATTTGGATCAAATAGGTACCACATGGGTACACAACAATGCTCGCAGTGTCTAGGCAGAGGGCTGGCCCTGAGTGGGGCTGGGCAGCACAAGGCCCTCTGGCCACACTGGGCTTTGATCCTCAGGAGCCGGTGGAGCAGCCTGCCCTGCTGGCCGGCCTGGCCTTTGGAGGCTGCCGGGTTGGGGCCAGTTGCTGGGTGGTGGTGGTAGATGGAGCTAATCATTAGCAAAGTTCATGGGCTGAGAAACATCTTTGCTGAGAGTTAAGTTCCATTCCATGCTAGAAGAAAGGCCCCCCGGCATGCGTGTCAAGTCCCTCGGTTACCCCGCAGGTCCCCCTCACGGCCTGGCCCGGCCCTGTGTTCCCACCTGCCAGCACTTGCTGCCCCCTGGGGTGCGGAGCAAACTCGTCTCAGCACCTGTAACCAGGCCACCTTCATGTCGGTGCCTCCTCACCATGCCTTCCTCCAAGCAGAGAGCAGGGAGGGGAGGAGAGAAAGGGAGAAATGATGGACAGAGGAAGGGTGCTTGGGGGAAGAATCCTTTACACCCCAGGAAACCACAGAGGACGGTGGTCTGTGCAGTTAGCTCAGCCTGGGTGAGACCCCCCTGAGCAGAAATTCACTTCAGCACCAGGGTGAGAAGACTGGCCTCTGAGCTTGGACTCCTGAGACCTAGCTTCCAATTCCAGAGAGTTGTTCTCCAGCTGTGCAACCTTGGGCAAAGTAGTAACCTCTCTGAGCTCATCTGAACAGTGAGGATGCTGAGCTGGGCCATGGTGAGGACTGAGTGAGACAGGGAATGAATGATCTCTGGCTAAACCAGAGAAGTGAAGTATTGCTGCCCTCGTCCTTGGGCACCGGTCTCTCCATCTCAGAGTTCTGACGGGAAGCAAGCTTCTGTCTGGGCGTGGCGACCACTGGAGTCAAGGCGCCCACTGCCCCAGTGGAAGAAGGGCCTTCTCGGTTCCCTGTGAGATCTAAAGGCGGTGATGCTTGTGCCTGGCCAGGCGGCTCAGCTGGTTGGAGCATCACCCCGCACACTTATTGCCGGTCAGGGCACACACTTAGGCTGTGGGTTGAAATCCGGTCATGGCATGTACGGGAGGCAACCAATTGATATTTCTCTCTCACATCGATGTTTCTTCCTCTCTCCCTTCCCCTTTCTCTAAAGATCAATGAACATGTCCTCGTGTGAGGATAAAAAAAGTGGTGATGCTTGTGATAAGCCTGGTGAAGAAAGACCTGGACAAGAGCTCAAGGGGACCGAGGCTCCTTCCAAAGCCAGGATTGTTCTTCTCTAGGGGGTGTGGAGTCAATTCTGTCCCTAGGAAGCTGTAGCTTCCCTGAGCTGGAAGGGATTTTAGTACAGTCTCCCCTCTGATCTAGAAGCTTCTCAACACATGCTAGACCCATAGTGATCCAGCCTCTACTTGAACACCTCTGGTGACAGGGAGCTCCCTCCCTCTAAAGGTATCCAAATGTACCCATCAGCACTCGCTCTACCCCATTCATGCAGAAGAAGTGTGCTCCCCCTTCCATGCTAGAGCCTTTTCTAGCAGCCCTGAGCCTCTCTCCCCAGAGCAGGCTTCCTGGGGGTCAGGAGCTGCCCCTCTGTCAGCAGGACCACACTGGTTTTCTCTGCAAATTCAATGCAGTCAAGGTTGAATGATCTGTCCCGCAGTCTGAGCCAAGGATTGCCACACTCATGGGACCAGGGCTTCCATCATCATGATGCTCCAGCTGAACTCCCTTAGAACAACAAACCCCCAAGCTTCTTTCTGGATGAACCAGACTTGCAGTTGGCAGGAGAATAGAGACACTGCCAAGGCATGGATGCTAGCTGTGGGCATCGCCAGGGTCCCAGGGAAACCTCTGTAGGCCCTGCAGTTTCTTCACAACTTGAAAGAACTGGCGTGGCTGCTAATGGGAAAACCGACCCTGCTCTGCACCAGGAGGCAGTAAATTTTGTGAGTCTGTTTGAGTGGATGGAGGCAACCGCGGGGGCTATAATTTCCACTTCCTGACACAATACAAACTTCTCAGTTTATGCAGAACTAATTACAGAACTCTCAGGTCTCGCCATTCCACCCACCAAACACCCATAAAACAACCCGGATTACGGAGTGTGTGGAATGTGCTTCTCAGGAGTGATTCTTCTCTTTCCAAAACCCCTCCCACTCGGGGTCCTCCTTTCCTTCCTGCTTCATTTCTGCTCCTGGAAGGCTCCAGAGGCATCCCAGCCAGGGGCTGGAGGGCAGGATGGGCTCCATGTAGCAGGTGGAACCATGAGAAGGGCCCAGACCTGGACATGCACTCCTGCTCTGCCACTTATGATCCAAGAGACTTTGGGCATGCCTCAGTTTCCTCATTTTTTAAATAGAAGAAGAATAGTACCAGCCTCATAGGGAGGTCTTAGGATCAGAAATAATGCAGGTCACGTTGAAGGACAGCATGGCAATATGGTAGGCATTCAGTAAGTGGTGACTTTTATTAAGATTATTTTTATGTTATTATAGTTACTGTAATGACCACCTCTGGGCCCTGGTTCAAATTGTTTTCCTGTCTAAAATCTTATTTTCCTTGAAATTTGCTGATTGAAAGACCACAGTGGTGGATTAAAAATGGCCACAAATGCTTTGCCACTCCTCCCACAAGAAGTGGAAGCTGAGTCCCCTCCCCCCAGCCACAGGTCTTGGCCATTTGATTTGCTTTGACCAATAGGACATCAGAGAATGTGATAAAGGTGCACTGGGACTTGCCCATTTTGAACCCTGCTCTGAGCCTTCCATGATGTAAGGAAACCCATCTAGCCCACCCAGGGCTGAGAGGCTGACTGGAGGAGAACTGGCACCCAGCCCACAGCCAGCACCAATCACCAAACGTGCAGATGTGGCCGTCTTGGCCCCTCTGGCCTTTCCATCCATCATTCAGTGTGACTGCATGAGTGAGCCCAGGGAGGCCAGCGGTACTCCCAGATGGCCAACTCACAGAATCATGAGAGATAAATCGTCATTTCAAGCCAGTACATTTGGCATGGTTTGTTACACAGCAATAGATAACTGATACACCTACCCATTCACCAGGACTGAGCTCATAGGCTGTCACCTCTCAGAAGACTTCCCAAACTCCTGACAACCTGGAATTAATCTCTCCACCCGCCTCCTGTATTCACTCAGCACTTTGTGATGGTAGCAGTCAGCACAGTCTGCCTTCACCAGGGTTATTTGTGCAGGAATCCCATCTCTCTGGCCTGTGAGCTGCCAGAGAGCAGGGTTGGGAACCTACCCCTACTTCCCCAACCATACTCAATGCGGAGCTCTGCCTGGAGAACCTGAGTTGCCTTGGTACAGATACAGCCACCCAGGCTGGAAGGGCAGACCCTTCTGGCTCAGAGTCCAGCTGGACCACTGACTTGTCCAAGGCCCTGCCCCGCCTATCCTTTTGCTCCTCCAAGTGGAGACATGACCCCTGTCCAGTCAACTTCACAAGCATTATGAGGCTCATGCTGGGTGAGTGTTTGTGCAAAATTATGCGTGTACCACCAAGTCCGGACCCTGTACACTGTGTGTGGTGAGATCCCACTTGGGTTCGCACTGGGCCATGGGGTCTTCCCCTCCCCCACTTCTTACCTTCCGGCCATGGTAGCCCTGGATCCCTGGGTCTCCCTGGGGGAACAAAGGGAAGATGATGAGAAGGGTTTTCGTAATGCCAAACTTCAGCCCCACTGTTCCCTCACATTCCCATCCCTCTTCCTCCCCATGTCTAACTCCTCCCGACCTCCACCCCCAGCCAACCCTGGAACAATAACAGAGGCTGTTCTGCTTCTCAGAACAAGTCAACTTGGCAGGAGACCTGAGTTTCAGTTTTGGTTCTACCACTGATTCTCTGTCGAAAACTTGGACCAGTCACTTTGCCCCAGGCCCTCAGCTTCTACATTTGTAAGATGGTTGGGCTTTGCAACCTCTCATCTCAGAGCCTGAGGTCCTCCAGCTTCAAAGGGAGAGTCTGTTTGACATCATGAGCTTCCAGATAGGGTTTCAGAAGAGACCAGATGACCCTGAAGGTCCCTTCCAGCCTGACCCCTTATGAAACGCTTTTACTGGGATGTTGGGACAGTGTCCCAAGCGTCAACCTTGAGTTTCCAACTAGACTATAAGCTCCTTAGAGGTGGGACTGCACCTTCCATACCAGCCATAAGACTTGATCGGCTGAGCATACAAACATTCAGTTCTTGTGAGGCCCAATCAGTTCCCAAGAGGGTAGTGTTTTGGAAGTGAGCCAAGCACGATGCATCTCTCAGCGAGCCCCCCTCACAGATCCTTACTCAGTACCCTTAAGTGCTGCCTGCCCCTCCTCTTGCAGGGAGCTCTCCCACCCACTCAGTGGGTCACCCAGAAGGGCCCTCACCTTTGGTCCAGGAGGCCCAGGAAAGCCCTGTGGAAGCAAGAGAAAGGTGAGTGGAGGCAGATCCCACGGGTAAACAGCAGAGGTTAGTCATGTTTACAGGGGAGGCTGGGGACAGAGCGGTGCTTGAATAGCGTAACAGGTTTTGTGCTAGAGGACAGACCAGAGGATCCTGGGACGGTGTCTGAAACCTGCTAAGGGCACGTGGGGACAACAGGCTCGCATCCCGTTCTGGAGCCATGTGGGCTCTGTGGGCATCTCCTCTGCGCTTATCCACTGGAAAATAGGTCAGTGGCATTATGTTAAATTGACAGTGTGGTTTGGTCCAGATTCCCACCCGCCCACCTCTTAATTGGGACCCCTCCCTGGGAAACCGACCTTGCCCAACAGAGTCATGATTTTGCCTTTGGCCCTGCCAGCCTGCGGGGGAGCCCTCTGTCTCCTTCCCCCAGGGTGCTGTGACCATAGTAGCCAGCAGTGAGGAGGTGGTGTGGGCCCGGGGTCTGCGGGAGCCCAAGGGAGAGGCGAGGAAGGCTGTCTCCACCGCGGTGGCGGGAGGGGGCCTGGATGGCAAACACGGGGTGCAGAAAACCATGATGCCTGAGTCTGGTCTGTTTCAGTTGGTTTAAAAACACACTTTCTGGTTTTTTTCTTTATTAAAAGAAACCTAACAAAGAAAACCATCTGGCTTGGGTTCAGTGAGTGGGAGCCCAATGTGTTTGGGGGAGGGCAGCCAGCAAAGAAGTGGATTTTGAGCACTTTTTTGGTTTTCTCAGCCTGGTTCGGTTCAATTCCCTAAATTTCACTTTCTTTCAGGTTTTCCCATCTAGAAACCCATAAAAGTGAGACCAATCTCCTTCCCTGAGGTCCTGGAGAGAAATCACGGAAATAGTTAAATTCTGCTGTGGGGGTCAAGCTGGGCAGGAGAGCCAAGACCCCCAGCAAGCTAAGTTTTCACACCAATATGCCAACTTCGGGCCAAGCTGGGTGCTGGTCAGCCGGAGCTGTTGCCCAGCACAGAGGAACCCCACAGAGCCACATCATTGGCAGCTGGGGCAGCTGAGGGACCCAGAGGTGAAGCCAAGTGACCTGGAACTCAGCTGTACTCATTGAGGGCTATTTGGCAGGGACATTGTAGCCCAGCGAATTCACCTTTGGGACTCTATCCCAGTGACAATCAGAGATGTGCAGATGTTCATGTTCAAGCATAAAGATCACAGAAGGGAGCTCATTCACTGCTTTCTCAATAGGCCCAGCAGCCCTAAGATCCATGTCACGGGAGACTCCTGACGTGGGAAAGGGCATGGTTCTTGATGGTAAGTAAGAAAGTAACAGGATACAAACTTATGTTATTCAGAACATTATCCACCTGGAAATGTCCAGGTGCAGGTATATCTAAGGAGGGAAATGGAGGGTTCCCTAAAATGTGAATGAAGGCGAACTCTGGATATGGGAAAACAGACAATTTAAAATATTTTCTTTGTCTACCTCCCAAATTGTTCATGATGAATGTATGATGTTTTAGTCGCAAGAAAGAAAACCAGGTTTTTTTGTTTTTTAGCCACATAGGGAAAACATTATGAAACAGACTTTATCCTTAACCCTGTCCCTCCAGTGACATATGACATTAGTCTTAGCTCTGGGTAGAGAACCCATTTTCTCCAAAGAAGTCCAGATGCCTGCTGTGTTATTCTCCTGCCCTGGGGCTTTTTTGCACTAAATTGGGCTGAGAAAGAGTTGGGTCTTGGCCAGGGCTTGGAAATGGGTGACTTGGTGTCCACTGGGTTTGAATTGCCACCTGTGTGTGATCTTGGCTGTAGGTGGGGTGCTTGTTGGCCTCCCTGGGCCCCTGCCAGTCCTCAGGCTTGATGCAGGGTCCCCCTGGCTGACCAGGCATCCAGCTGGTGGCTTAGGAGTGTGAGACCTGCACACACCAGGAAAGACATATTTGTAAGGGGTGCCAGCTGGTGGGACAACCCTTTGCTACTTCCATCAGAACTCACTGCCCCCAACTCAGGTTCTCCTATGCCCAGGGGTCAGGGAACAGCCATCAAAGGTGACCTGGAAACTTCTTTTCCTCTCTGCTGAGCTGAGGACAGCCTGTTAGTGATTTCCTCCTTATAAGGCAATGACTGGAGTTGAGGACATGGCCCCAGGAGGTGTGTTTTCAGAACTAGAGAGCAACAGGTGAGTGTGACAGGGATGGGCAGCTCCTTGTGTGGTCCACCCATGTTCAATGGCCTTGCAAAGGTGATTTGGCCAGTCAGCTGGGACACAGATTCCTGTTGGTTATGCAAAGTTTGGATGCTTCCAGAGAATTCTCAGGACAAATCTTGGGAGAGGAAGCAGTGGAGAGAAGAAAGGGGTACTTACAGGTGGCCCCATGGGCCCTGGCAGTCCTGGATGCCCCAGAGGTCCACTTGGTCCAGGGGGGCCTGGTGGCCCTGGTGGGCCTTGGATACCAGCCTGGCCCTGTTCACCCTGAGGTTTGTGGAAAAAAGTGTTAGAAAGAGACTCCCAGGGCTGAAGAGCGATTCCCGCCCCAGTGCCATGCACCCGTGAAGGCCGTGTGGGGAGGCAGTGGTGGCGTGATGGTGATGCTGCTGCAGTGGTGACTACATGCAGGGACTGGTGGCAGCAAGGAGACGGCCAAGACATTGGACCCCCAGGAGGAGGGGCTTCCAGGGAGGACTTGCTGCACGAGCAGCTGGTCCCAGGGTGAGAGCCCTGCTGCAGGTGGCAGAGACAAAGGAGTGAGTGAGGTGACTCCTAGCTCGGAAGGTCTGCTCCCAGCCTGGTCAGAGCACCAGAGCCCGCCCGGGGGGTCTGAGGCCTGGGCCTGCCTCCGCTCCGCTTGTGTGGCGAGTCACATCCTCTCTCTGAGCCCTGGCCTCTCAGCCACCGAATGAGGCCAGCAGTTCCTCCTTTCCTAATGCAGCTTTTTGCCATTTTTGAGGATCTGGCCCAGAGGATCAAATCAGACCCTTCGGTCAGAGGTCACAGAATTTTGTTTGGCTCACTAAACAGTTGGGCAAGAGATTTAAGTAAAAAATTTGGATTGATGGCTTCTGATGAAAAACTGGGAGCCCTGGAAGCTAAGCCCACATTCCTGGGGGCAGTCGTGGACTGGATTGGGGAGTAGCGCCCCCTTCAGGTGGGGCATGAGTTCTCCAGTTGCATCAGGGTGGATGGAGAGCGTGGGAGGCAGGGGCAGCATCTCGTTGCCTCAGGAGGAGAGAGCCTGGTCCATGTGATCCCGATCTTGGGGCTGGAGGTCAGTCAGAGTTATCCTAGATCTACACCCGATGCCATTATGTTATTTTCTAAGTGATCTCTCCAGGGGTGATCTGGGCTCAGCTCTTGTGACAAGGGGCCCATCCCTGCAGACAGACTAATACAGAACAGCCTGGCAGGTGAGAGAGATCCAGACTGGGGTGCGGGGGGATGCAGGCCCGCCCACCCTGCTCAGGGTGACCTCAGCAAGCCTGTATGACTCTTGCTTCCCTGTATAAAAAAGGGAGCTGTGCTGCTCCCTGAAAACTCTATAGAGGGAAATGATTATAAATAAAAGTGTACAACCTCAGAATGAGAACTGTAAGACTTCAGCAGCGCCTGCTTGAACCATGTCTTGGCTGGGAATCCTAGGGCAGATGGCACCCAACAGAGCTACTCTGGGCCCTGGGCTTCATCCTGCCACACCTTCTGAGAAGCTGTTTGAGGGACATGAGTGTCTCTCGTGAAGGAGGCAGGTGCAGAAATGGGTCACAAGTCCCATTTTACAGAAAAGAAAAGAGGCTCAGGGGAGTTGAGTTCCCTGACCAAGGTCACATGAGAATTCAGGGGGAGCCAGGACCCCATCTCAGAACTCCAGACTATTCCTATTCATTCCAAATAAGCCCCCAGCAAAAAATGCTCACCATCCAACTTGCTGCACTTTGGAAGTGACCCCCACACCATCTGCTAAGCACATCAAATCTCTTATAAAGTGTCCTGTTTCAACTAATATTAGGCCCAGTGTTTGAATACCTTACAGAGCCTGTAAAATCAATAATAGTTTATTGATAGGAAATGGACAAACCTTTTTATGTCCCAGGATGGCTGATAGCATAAAAATCTTATTCACTAGGCGGAAGCTGCAGAGGGCAGAATGGGGGCCCCTACGCTTCTCTCTCTGCTTTGGAAACCAGGTCAGGGCAGCAGAGAAAGTTCTGGCTCACCCACCCCTTGCTCTGGAAAAGGGCGGCAGTAACATCCCTGGGCCCCTCTCCTTTTTTTCATCTGTAAGGTGGAGGTCGCGATGGCACCTCCACTGCGGTGGCCGGTGGCCGGTGGCCGGTGGCCGGTGTGGGATTACATGAGATAATCCATGTCGAATTCTTACAACAGTGTCGGGACCCAGCGAGGGCTCGATGAACAGCAACTAATGCAGCAAAGGCCAGAATGTGGCTGATGGGGCTGAGGCGAATGGCTGCTCTGAGAGCAAGGACTCAGCCCTTCTGAGTTGGGGTCTGGCATGGGTGGGGGTGGGTGACAGTGGGGCAAGCCTGGTGCTTCTCTGAGCTGCCAGCAGGCCCCCTGAATAGCCATGCTTGGGGTAAGCACTCAAAGCACATGGAGGCTCTCGAGGATTTGGCTGGTGTAATGGGATATGCAGGCTCGGGTAACACTTGAGTCACGTGTCCCTCTGTATTTTTAGCTGTTAATTGGAGTGATTTTTTTTAGCCTTGCTCAATCAGGTGCCTGACATGCAGGCCTCTGGACTCCTGACTCCTGAGTCAGGCCAGATGGTGGCTGCAGGCCATGCTATCAGGCTTTTAGAGAGCATCTCAGAGCCCTGTCACTTCCAGCATCCCTGTGGCCTTGGGGGTAACCCCTGTGCAGTGTAAGGAAGGCTAGGGGCATGGCTGGCAGCTGCAGACTGCATGGCCTGGAATTGAGCTGCAGTGCCTTAGCCTGATCCCTGGGTCTGAGGTTTCTTGTTCTTTGTGAACAAGGTCCTATCCCAGCCTCCTTGGGTTAGTAAGGCAGGAAGAAGGAAGCAGTTGCTTACAATGATTACACCTGTTGGTTGTGGGCTACATTCCTTCTGCAAATTCCCTCACTCCTCAAACTCAGGTTACAAGTGATCAGATGCTAAGCAATCTGCATTTCTAAATATAAAGGGTGTAGGGCCAACTGAGAGAGCCCTGGATGGGGGATCCGAAGACCTGGCTACCAATTCCCATTCTGCCACTTGCTGTTTGTGTGATCTTGGGCATAAATTCACTTCTCTCTGAGTCTCAATTTAATTATAGCACTCAAACGGTGCTCAGAGCTAGTCTAAGTGCTCTGTATACACAACAACCCTATGAGGTAGGAACTGTTATTATCCTTATTTTACAAATGAGAAAGCTGAGGCACAGAAAGGTTAAGTAACTTGCCCCAAATCACACAGCTAGTAAGAGGCAGAGAACTTGGGTGAGCTGTAATTTACTGTGTAACCTTGGGCAACTTACTTAAAGTCTCTGAACCTTGATTTCCTCATCTGTGAAATAACGATGGTCACGCCTAATTCACAAAACTATTGAGAGAATTAAATGAAATCAGGCCTGTGGAATATTTGACACATTGGTTGGCACCCAGTGATGGCTGTTGTTGGTGGCTCTTATGAGTATAATGGGCAGTGGAAGTTGGGGATCTCTTGGGCCTGGGTGTTGTGTATTTCCAGGTCTATGGCATTCATGGATCCCCTTTTGTCTAGTTTAATTTAACCGAAACAGAGTGAGGTTCTGTCTTCGTCTACAGCCCCAGCTGGCCTCTTAGGGTCCAGAGACTCCCCAAGCCCCTGGGGAGGCCACATGAGGTCTGGGCAAAGGGAAGGGATCTACCTGGAAGGTCCGCCTTTTTATGACTGGGGGTGGAGCCAGTCGCACTGAATTGAGGAGAGGCAGCAGCTGAGGAGAAAGATGAGTTGGAAGGCCAGAGGGCAAAGGCCAAAGGTCGCAGGTGTTCAGGAGGATGCCAAAAGTCACCAGGAAGGCAGGGCGGCCAAGAGGGAATGGAGGAGAGATAGAAAAAGGAGAAATTAGCGAGCATGAGGCACAGGGAGGGGAGGCAGGGATGGGGAACTCTTGAGGTTTGTGGGGGGAGGTGCTGAGCTTGCCTTTGGAGGGTACACTGTCCCTTGAAGAAGGAGTGGCCCTTGGGGTGTTGGCCAGCAGCATCCCCCAACTGGGAGAGTGGTCCTCCTTGGCTGGGCCTGCCCCCTGTGGCCACGCTGGGCCGAAAAGGCCGCCTGACACATGGCCCAACATTGCACTGCTGGCCCCACCCATTCCTGGTCGTGGACAAGGGCTGCTGGGCCGAAGGCAGAAGACTCAGAGGCTCTGGTTACACAGGGAGCCACAGGACCAGCGAAATTGGTACTTGAAGCCAGGCTGGTGTGTGGCAACCTCTGGGTTCTTTTTTTGGTTAAACGAGAAAGGCTGATGTCAGTGAATCTGGGGAGGTGGTAAAGGGCAGTGCCAAACCGGGTCCCAAGGGGCTGAGCCAACTGAGGGTGTGGCCAGTGTGGGCACAAGATAAGTGCTACTGAGGTCTCACCCTGGGGCTGAAAGGCTTGGAAAACAGTGGCTGGGCAAGGATGTCTCTGGCATGCCCAACCACTTGTTTGAGAGAAGCAACTTGCAATCACAGTATTGAATGTGAGTTTCATTTCTGGAAATTCTCGCTGCTTCCAATCTCTCTACCCATGAAGCTGAGCACCCCATGGCTCTAGGAAGTGGTTAGAACCCATGTTAAAGCAACGATGGCATATAATCAACCTCTTGTTTATGAAAGCATTTTAACTCACATGAGGTCCCTGGGATGAGTGTTAAGAACCAGAGGCCACCTGGGCTGAGAATGTGCCCAGCTGGGGACTTGGAGGCCCAAGCATGGCCTTTTTAGGTCATTGCTGCTTTCCTGGGCAGCTGCTGTACCGAGAGCCTTGCCCCTCCCTCTAGGGGTCCTGAGGATGTGCAATGTTGGACTATGTGTCCAGGGAGCCTCTCAGCTGAGCGGGGCTAGAGACCTTCCAGAACAGAACCTACAAACCTTCAGGGTAAGTATCTGGTTGGAGTGCAGAGCTGCTAAAGTGCTGCTTAGGTACTCCTGGTGTGGAAGGGGAATGGAGGTGGTGAGACAGAACAAAGGGGGAGGGTGAGTGCCAGAGCCACAGATACCAGCTCTCCTGGTCCTATCCCAGGGCACTCCATCCCACCCTCCTCCTCCTCCTCTCCCTCCCTCGCTGCAGGTGCTGCAGGCTGCAACAGAGGCAAGGACCAGCCTGGATTTCTCGGCATCTTGTGGACCTGGAGGCCTGCCACCCCACCATGCCCGCAAACCCCTCAGAAAGCCAATAGATCACTTGCCCAAGAAGTCCTCTGCTTTCCTACCCACTTCCAAATAAACGGCAGGTGCCAGTTGCCTTGCTGTGACCACCAGCTGGGTCCCCAGCCCCGCTCTCACCCCTGCCTGACTCATACCCCTCACTGCCATGGTCATAATGCCGTATTTTGCTGCACCCTGTGGCCAAGGTGCTTCTGGAGCCTTCCCTCCATGGCCTCTCCCTCCTCTTATGCGGGGCTTAGGGGCACAGAGCCCTTTCCGCCCCTCACCCTCATGTGTTCGCTCAGGACTAATGACACACTGCCAAAGCGTCCGCAGTTGTGTTGTCTTTTGTGCTGGAGGAAGCTGTCTTTCTTTTGGTCAACATAACAATCCTGTGAGCCCATCGTTTCAAATAAACACAGCTGACCTTCTATTATTGTATCGGGATCAGGCTGGCCGGAACACCAGGGCCCTTGCATCCCTGGAGCACATGCCACTGACAGGCTGGCTCTGTCTACGCTGCTGCCAGCTTGTGCCCCTGCCCGGGCCCAGCCCAGTTTTGGCCTCAATGCCAATCTGGCTACTCGTGTTCAAGGCTCCCCAAGGCCTCTCCCTGGTCCAGGAACCCAGGAGTAAGAGTCTAGCAGGACCCTGCTAGCAAGGCCCTCAGCCTGGCTTGTGCTTGTCTCCACTCCCTCAGACCCTGCTTGGCAGGGGTGGGCAGCCAGCGAGCCACACCATGTGTGCGTTTCTGGGCACAGTGAGGCCCATGACAGGGGAATGGGCACCTAAAGATGCCTGCCCTCCTACCTCTACTGCTCAGGTCTGAGAGTGGCAAGGCTGATCCACAAAATGAGGGGCGTTTTCCAGGTCTGGCTCCCTGGGCCTTTCACTGGAGGAAGCAGTGCACACCTGAGCCCTCCCTGACTCAAGAATGGCTCTGCGGTTGGTGCAGTCTGCAGCTTCCTAATAGGGTGATAGCAGGCTTTGGGCTGGGCACCCTGGGGTAGAGCCAGGGAGACCATCTTGGCCCTGAAATCCCCCACCTTGCTTGAAAAGAGTGTCCTCTGTTCTTCAAGAGGCAAAGCGGAGACTTTACCCCTGAATTGACACAATCCGCTCCTAGTTATCTTTAACCACTGCGGTTGGGTCATCTGAAACAATGACTAACCCAAAAGTCCCTCTGATTTGGCCTGGGAAGGCAGCCAGACATGCACAACAGTCACACACACACACTGGGGAGGGATTCAGACACAGACTCGCACAAGTCACACAGCCTCACAGAGAAGGGGATGTGCGGAGGAGAAGCCCGCACTCTTAGTTATAGATACACACCTGCTGGGAGACTCGACTCGCAGCCCAGCCAGCGCAGGGCAGGCACAGAGACACGCACGGGCCGGGGAACACGCGGCCCCCCACGGCCCCCCTCTGGCTGCTGATGGCAGAGGGCACCGTCCGCGCCTATTCCCAAGCTCTGTAGGTGCTGGGGCCCAGGAGGATAAGGCTGAGCTGGGGGCTATGCCCCAGGATGGATCAGTTTTAGGGGTTCACTTACCCGGTGCGGGTATTCTCCACACTGACCCTGGGGAGAGAGGGAAGGAAAGGAGGGTGTTAGGCACCTGGTGGCTGTCCATCAGAGACACCCTCAGGCCTTGTGGACACACCACCCACACTCATCACCCACTAGCCCCCTTCTGGTCCTGGACTGAGCTTTCTGAGACGGGAGAACAAATTCTGCCTTCCCCCCACCCCCTCAGCTGGCAGCATGGAAGAAACCCCTGGGGCCTGCCTGGATGTGGTTCTGTGGAGCCTGGGGCAAGACTCCACTGCCATGCACCATTTGCCATGACCACACAGTCAGGAGTCATGCTCCACGCCTGCCTGGAGGGATCTTCCAGAAAGGTTGACCCTGTGGGTGAGCCCACCCAACGTTCCTGAACAGGAGCCCCTGGATAGCAAAAGCAGATGGTGAGGCAGGTTGTGGGCCACCAGGCCCTCAGAGATGCCTTCTCTGAGCTGGCGTGTTAAGTCCCTGTGCCATCTGCCTGGGGCAAGCCCAGCAGAATCTCCAAGAGAAATTCAGAGAGACAGAGAATGTAGGAGGCCAGGAAGGGGCCAGGTTGGTGGTTTACACACTGATACCTCAAAATCCTAGAGGCTCAGGAAGGCGGGTCAGGAGCTTTGTGGGGGTGGCAGGTGGGAGGGACTGAGAAAGAGGCTGAAGAGGGCAACTTCAGGGTGTTTAACCCCGATCCCCCCATCCCAAGAACATAACATAAGCCAGAGCAGCTTCCCTTTTCTCTCTTCTATACCCTGGCACCACGGGGGACTCCCTGATTCTGTTGATAAAAACTAAAGTTTAAAAATAACCTTTCTGGGCCCTTTTCTACCTGTTTTTGTTTGTTTGTTTTTTATGTGCCTGAGATGAGAATTCTAGAAAATCTCCGCTGGGCTTACCTTTTCTCCTTTTTCCCCTGGAGGTCCCTATAAAGAGATGGAAAGGAGAGCGTTATAAACTAAAGCTAAAAACACAGTGGCCCAAAGCCTCTCTGCTGGGGAACACTGGGGTGAGGTACCAACCGGTTGTCCTCGGGGACCCATCAGGCCCTGTGGGGAGGAAACACACACAGGTCAGTGGGCTCACAGAAGGCAGAAAGGTCCGAGACGTAGGCCTAGGTGTGACTGTGCTAGAAGCCAGGCTCCCAGGTGCTTTTCAGATGCCCTGAGTTGCAAAGGCTGGGCTCCGCCACTCACGCCTGGTTTTCCTGTGCCTGATGCTCCAGGGGTTGTGGCCTGTACACCACACCTTAGCTTTCTCATCTGTCAATAGGTGTCACTAGCTGTGCCCTGTTTCCACGTGCATGACTGTGATAAAGCCATCCTTCATTCATTCCTTCACCCACCACCATCTCAAGGGCCCCCGGGTAGTAAGGAGGCTGTATTTACATGTCAGGGGGGCCCACCACTGTGGATGGTCTGCCTCACTCATGCCATCTGTCTCCCCATGGCTTTGGGGACACCTTTGGCAAAAGAGATGAAGCAGGAAGTTGACGACTTAAGCCATGTCCTGAGCCCATTGGAGAAATAATAAGAGACCTTGGAGTTTCCTTCCAGAACGTCTTGTGAAATTTACAAGGCTGAGAAAGGAGCCTGGGTTCAGGGTGGACCCATGTTCTCTGAGGACACAGCGTCTCGCTGGCTCTCTCAGGAGCCTGAGCTGAGGCCCGTGTAGAGGAAGCTTTATGGCAGGTATGGAGAGACTGGGGGAAGACAGGCACTTCTTGTTTTGAGGACCCACTCAGAGGCTGGCTTGCAGTATGTGCTGAGCTCACACCCGCACTGGCCCATGAGAAAGGTGCTCACGTCAACTCCATTTCTCAGACGAGGTGAGGGTGACGAGGCTCAGCAAAGGGGTGGCATTTGGATGTGAGCCCAAGTTTGTCTGACTATCAGAGTCCAGCTGTTTCCACTCTACCACGCTCTCTGAACTGGGCTGGACTGAGGGCGGCAGGGCTTGGGCTTCTAGACTTGGCTAGAGCCACAGGCAGTGCCCCAACTGCTGGGGCCTGAGGTCCCTTCCAGCCACCATCTTGAGGGCCTGTGGGACCCACCTGCTGGACCAGTCTCTTTGGGGCTTGAAGAACTCAGGATCCCCAAGATAATCCTTTTGGGTGGGAGATGAGCCTTCTCTTGCCCCTGACTGGCCAGCTGGCTCCACCACCCAACTGGGAAAGTCCAAGGAGGTTCATAAGAGGAGACAAGTGTGGCCTTTGGGACAATCCATGTGGCACCCCAGCCCATGTGGCTAACCAAGTGTTTAGTACCAAGTTCAGCAGAATATGATGCATCTGGTAGGAACCAGATTGCAGGTGACCAGACCACCTTCTCTCAAGCCAGAGAGAGGAGCTAGATGAAAGAGGGAGGGCCCAGGACCAAGAAATAAACAAAGGTTCAGGATTACGCAGACATGTCGGAGTGAGTCCAGACATCCCAAATGGTGGCCCATGGGGCAATTGTGGTCCTCGGAGGTATTTGGTTGATCCTACACAACTTTAATTCATTGCCAACATTTAAGAGCAAGGAGAACACAACAAAAAAACCCTGGATTTCAAGTTTCTTTTAAATATTTCAAGGTTCAATAGCACATGGCATCAATTAGCTCTCACTGAAAAGCAGCTGCCCCTTTAGGGCAGGTCATGGGTGATGTGCCGGTTACAGTACTTGTCGTGCTTCCTGTGTACCAGGCACTGTTCTAAGCACTTGGTGTGATTAAACTCTTCCCACCCTTAGGACAGCCCTGTAAGTGGTGGGATAAGTTGTGAAATCAAAGTCTTAGCTCTCATTTTACAGCACTTGTGGGGCCCTGATCCTGTCTACACCTTACATCAAGTTCTCGGGACTCTGATCCTGTCTACACCTTACATCAAGTTCTCGGGCCCCTGATCCTGTCTACACCTTACATCAAGTTCTCGGGGCTACTGTGAGGTGGATGGGGCAGAGGTAATCCCCTTTTAACAGGTGAGGACATGGGTTAAGCACGTGGGGGTGAGCCCCAGCCCCCCATGTTGGATGCCCAGCAGAGGGAAAACCATGTGGGGAGGAAGGTGAGTAGAAGACAGACAGATGATAAGCACACCAAGATAATTACACCAGACAGAGTGTTGAATTAATAGCTCGGGGTCCCCGTGCCAAGTCAAACAGGAGTCTAATAGCTCTGTGGCCTGTCGGATTTTGATGGATGACTATGAGGCAGATAGGAAATCTATCACACCGGCATGGGTTCATGAGAAATGGGACGGCCCCGCCCTTACCCTGAATTAGCTCTGACCCCTGACCAGACAGGTTAAATGGGGTAGGGTAGAGGGTTGGCAGGAAGAGGAGCCCCATAGAAGGGTCCTTTCCTTCAAGACAAAGGCCCCTGGTAGCAGAAAAGAGGTATGGTAAAGGGGTAAGATCTCACCACGTGGGTCTTAATCTCAGCTCTGTTACTTAGGAGCTGTGTGTCCTTGGGCAATATACTCAACCACTCTGTGCCTTGAACTCCATTTTTGTAGAGTGGGAATAATAATTCATTATCAGAGTTACAGAACAGTGGTAGTTGATGACCATCATTACTACTTCTGGGATGCCAAGACTATGTATGGTAGCATCAGGCCACCAGGAAGGAGATGCCTCAAACTCCTGGCACCTAAACCCTTTATGTCTCTACTACAATGGTAACATGGAAGTTTATTCCTGCCTTGGTCTCCACTACTTCAGGCATGTGAGCAACATACTTAGGAACAAGAAATGCATTTGCAGTGGAGATGACTGGGATGGAGAGGAAAGCTGGCTGGGGGACCTGGATTCCAACACCAGCTCTTCCACCCATCACCTCCAGTGTCTCACTGCCCTTCTTCCGGTTTTGTGGATATTTTAAGGACTTTTCGGCCTCAGGGCCTTTGCACAAGCTGTCCTCCCATGTATGTCCCATCTTATTTTCTCTTAGTTAAATCCTCATTCCTTAGGCCCTAGTTCAAGTTTCATTCTCAGGAACGCCTTTCTGACCCTCAACCTGGGTGAGGTGCTCAGGGTAACAGGTACTGCCTTTTCATAGCACTGATTACCAAAGCAATTTGTCAATTATGACAATGGTTATTTATTTACTTTTTATTTATTTTAAAATATATCTTTATTGATTTCATAGAGAGGAAGGGAGAGGGAGAGAGAGAGTTGAAACATCAGTGATGAGAGAGTCATTGATCGGCTGCCTCCTGCAAGCCCCTGACTGGGGTTCAAGCCTGCAACCTGGGCATACGCCCTGACCAGGAATCGAACCTCGGTCTCCTACATGCTAGGTCGATGCTCAACTGTTGAGCCACAACCAGCCGGGCCAGTGGTTATTTAAATGTATGTCTCCCCCGACGCACTGGGAGCTACAGACTGGCAAGGACAGTGTCCTCCTTACTTCTGTCTGTATCCCTAGCACCTGGCACAGTGCCCAGCGTATTGTAGACACTCAATAAAAATGTGTTAAAGGAAGGAAGGAGGCAGGGAGACAGGGAAGGAGAGAGGGAAATAAGGAGAAAGGCAATAAAATGTGGAGGGAAGGAATTTGAGAACTGGTTTGGATCCTGTTTTGGACGCTCTCTAGCTGTGAGACTTAAGGCAAATCACTTAGTCTCTCTGAGCTTCAACTTCCACAGTTGTCAACGGGGATGCTGACAGGACCTGGAGCACAGGGTCATGCTGAGGGTTAAGTGAGATAATATATGTACAGTACTTAGCTCCATGCCCACCACACAGAAAACCCTAAATAAACGTTAGCTGAGTCTGAGGCAAGCGGACAAGCTGAGGTCCAGAGGGAGCTGAGTTGCCAGGTGTCCCCTGGCAAGTCAGGGAGTGCTGGGGCTAAAGTCCAGGCCTCCCAGCCCACATTCCTCCATCTTCTTTTCTATCTATGAGGCTACCTGCCTCCCTCAGTGGGCAGGGTTCAGGCCTTCCATGCCCTGGCAGTGCCCCAGACATGGATGGAGAGTGTCCTCACCTATTGCTTGGAGCAAGGCACCAGCCTAAGGCCACTGGACAGGGAGACAGGAGCCTGCCACGTTGCTCTCAGACCTGGCACAAAGCCCAGGCCTGCTCGCAGAAGCTGGCTGCTCACAGTGTAGATGTGACCAACCTGGGAGGCAGGTTCTGCCCCATCAGTCCCTCTGAGAACTGGCCCCTCCCCTAGAGCAGACAGGCCGGGCAGCCCAGAGGAGGGCGGGCATGAGGAAACTGAAGTGCTGGATGAACTGCCTGCGCCCCCCAGTGTGAGTGCTGAGTGTAAGCTCATTTCCGAGGGGCGCATTAGCCTCGAACTCTGTGTGACATTGGCCGAGCATGGATTCTCTCTGGACCACTCTTTCCTCATTTTTCACGTGGAGAAGCCCCCTGCCCACCTCTCCTCCCTTCACTGATGTGAGGACCTAAGGGGATGCATTGTACACAACAGGGGAGTGGCTGTGGGGACAGCCACTTCCACTGTTCCTGCTGGCCCCGTTTGCCAGGCAGTGCTTGGCTATGGCCCGTAGGTCCAGGCTGATCCCCCACCCCTTGAGGGAAGCCAGGAAAGCTGGGGTCTTACCATCTCTCCTTTCGGTCCAGGGTAGCCCTAGAAGGAAAGAGCATGAGTGCCAGGCACATTATTGCAGCCCAGGAACCCCTTTGCTCTGCCACATGTGGCTCCTCCCTCCATCTCCAAGTCCTGGGAGATGAGTGGACATGATCACCACAGCCAACTTGCTGAGCTTAGCTCTGGTCTGCAGAGGGGCGTGACCAGGCGGGGAGCCAGGCCCTCATTTGAGAGGATGCCAGCTACTTAGGAGAGAGGAGAGTGGGAAGAACCTGGCTCAGCACTCAGCACCTTCGGTTGTTGAGGGGTATCCTGAGGGAACTGGAAGGTTGAGCTCTCCCCCAGCTCACTCCTTCCTGAGAATAGGGAGGGGTCTCCTTTCCCCCATGGACATTTGTGTCTGGGGCCAAGTCAAAAGGATAGAAATGAACAAAGAGAGGAGTTCAGGATGGGGAAGCAGCCTCCTTCTGGACTTGGACATGTGTGTGGGGTCTCAACCAGGATGGGAGACCCCAGGAGAATGGGAGATGCAGGAGGCGCCCTGGCGGTGCTGGAAAGCAACAGTGTAAGTGAGTTTCCAGGCTCCTTTAAGAATTAGTTGTTGAGCCCTCCCTACCCAGTCGCCTTCCAGAAGTACCCAGCATCACCACATTCTAGGGTGGCTCTTGCTCCAGACACTGAAGGCCCATCTTGGTGGCTGTGGACTTGTGCCCTGCAAAGGCCCACTGGGGTCAGGGGCAACCCAATCTAATGGCCCCTCCTCCCTTCCCACTGGGAACGACTTTCTGCCCCAGGAACGGTCATTCTATCTAAAGCTTCTTCCAAGGAGTTGGGGTCTTGCAGAAAGACTGAGACCTCAGGTTAGTGACCTGGACCAAGTGAGGGGAAGGAGCCTGAAGCCCAAGAGGGTCTACTCACCGGTTTGCCGTCTAGCCCTATGGGACCCTGAAAGCAGAAAGAAGACAGATGTAAAGACCGAGCGCTCCAGGTCCCCTGCCAAAGCGGTAGCCTGGGGCAGTGAGTAAGACCCCACTAGCTAGGGTTCGAGTTTCTGCTTGGCCACTTACTGGTTTTGTGGCTATGGGTAAGCTACTTTCCCATCCTCAAATGAGGATGAGACTAATAGACTTTCTACAAAAGGTCCTTGTGAGGAGTGAGTGAGATGAGATGTCAACAAGATGCCCTGCACGAGGAGGTCCCGATGGGGCTGTCACCATTGCTACTGCAGGCCTCTGCCTCACCAAGGTGGAGGGTGGACAGTGTGTCCCTGGAAAGTCAGGGCTGGCCAGCATCAAGGCTTGCGGAAAAGATAACTAGCTGTTCCTCTGCTCTCCCTCTTCGGACCTGTCTTGGGCTCCCAGGCAGGGGTCTTAAGACATTCAGATGGCCACCTGACTGCCTCCTCCAGGCAGTCCCCCTCAAAGCCAAGATGGAGGCTGCCTGCCTGCAGTGCATCATCTGTGTCACACTCCAGTGTCCTGTGGGTTATCCAGCCTGTGACTTCACTCACTGCTCCTGCCCCGCTGTCCCTTTATTTCCATGCTGATTTCCCTGTCCTCAAGTGCATTATGAGCTCCTCTCCTCGGTTGCTCTCCATGAAAGGCTGTAGGAGGGGACCCTTATTGACCAGGGTTTGGAAGGGCAGGAGCAGCCCCAGAGCTGGCCCTGCATGAAGTTTAACCTGCCAGGTTCAGGTCGAGGGAGCCACAGCTAACCTCAGCTCTCCCCACTTACCGGAAACCCAGGAAAACCTCGCGTGCCCGGCTGGCCCTGAAAAGAATGGAGAGGAGAGAGGGTGGTAAGGAGATGAAACTAATCCTTAGTCCCCTGGTTCGCCTTTGTCCCCAGAGGGACCTGGGATCCCACTCCTCTGTGATCATCCAGGGAAGACACTCACCAACCACCATGAGCTGGCTGTGAGGGGGGATAAAGGTGGAAGTGGGACATAGGACTTCTCCTGCCAGGACTGGGTGGGGAGGGCGAAGGGAGGTGGCCAGCATCCTTTGGGTCTTTCTGGGAAGTAGCCCCTGGGAGCTCTTCGCTGCCGTGGACACTGTGTACCTTGGCATATAAACAGGTGATGGAGAGCGAGGACATCGGGGACTCAGCCTGCATCACACTGAACTCCTGACCTGTGGTTTCCTAAGTCCCTTTTATTTACAGTCATTACTCATGGCCACTTATCTAAGGACAGTTTGGATATCAGTGGGTATCGAAACCTAACCTTCGAGATGTGTGTTTTCAGGCCGGACTAGGTGAGCTTGCTCACATTCCTCTCAGCAGGCCTCTCCTAGTTGGGCAATTTTTGGATCCCCCCACCTTTGTGGGACGCAGGTCAATCCATGCCCATTTTCCTGGAGGTGCAGAGGGCCACATAGATAGGCATTCGGGTTGGAGACTACAAGTAGGTTCACTGGTTTATGGTCAATATTCAGGACAAAAGATGTGACCAGGTTAGAAGTAGTATGAAGCTGTGCAGGGCTCGGGAGGGCTGAGCAGGTCAAGGGTAACGGAGAGCTAAGAAGCACGAGTCTTGTCGCTCTCCTTCGCAAGGACCAGTAATGGCTCTCTTCTACTCACTCACGCCACTCATGGTCATCCCTAACCTCACCCCGATCTGCCACTTCAGGTCCTTTCCTGTCTCATTTTCTATTGACTCTGCTCAGTGCACTGGCTCACCCTCCTTCCCCCAGACACACTGCATCTTTCACCCGCTTAGCTCTCAGCTTGAAGTCCCCCCTTGACGGAGATGGCCCCCGTCTCTTCCCCAGCTTGGGCCTCTGCATCTGGCTGCCTCCACCAACAATGGCTGTGTGACTCTGAGCAAGTTGTCTAACCTATCTCTGCCTCAAGTACTTCATCCAGAGAACGGGGACAACAGTACAACTCATAGGGTCATTGAATTACATTCAGTTATGTTTGCAAGGCTCTTCAAAATGGTAGCTGCCATCATCGGCTGTCTGCTGGGTTGAACTGAACCTAGAAACACCAACACAAAGTAGGGTCGCTTTTGAGCCCAATATGTCTTAGGACCCAGACAAGGAGGCTTGTCCTTGCCAAACAATAGTTTCAGAATCAGATCCTATCCAGAGGAAGATTTCTCTGGATCCATCTGCTGTGGACCTGAAACATCCCTAGGCTGCTTTGGTTTTCCTTGAAACTGTGGACACGAGTGCCCAGAAGCCTCCGCTCAGGAGACACGGCTGGTGGGAGTGGACCCTGACATCGGCGTGGGTGCCCTGGCCAGGTGGGGAGTATGCTGCAGGCTCAGGATGGGCTTGTGGCAGGCATCCAGAAAGGCAAGCGGGACGAGATGCCACTCATGTATCAGAAGGGCCCCAGGCTTCTCTCCTCTCAAGGATAAGTGATGCTAAGAATAGCACCAAACAGAAGACCTGGAAACCGTGCAAAGTAACCTTCGAAACCTCTCACTGTAAACTTTCGACTCCTTTCAACGCTGAGAGGCCTGAAGGAAAGGTCAGGAGGAGAGGATTCCAAGAAGCATCTTCAAGTCCTCCTCGGGCTGGTGTTTACACGGTAGGGATAATCACATGGTTTGCTAATTACAGAGCCTGCCGTGGTAGCAGGAGGCATCTCTCCAACCCGAAGCCAAATCCAGGGCTAACCAAGGCTTTTTTAGGGACCTTGGGAAGGATGCTGTCATTGACCGAGTGGAAACTGGGACTCCGCTTCCTGGAGAGGTTGGGCCTGGGTAAGACACTTGGAGAAGCTTGGAACTGGATTTTAATTTACAACAAATTCTATGCTGAGGTTGAACATCTCTTCCGATGTTTATCGCTGGCCTGTTTATTTGTGAACAGCCTGTTTGTATTCTTTACCAATATTTCCTACTAGGCTGTTTGTGCTTTTTCTATTGATTTGAGTAAAGCTTTTTGTCAAGCACAGTAACTCTTTGATGATCATATGTGTTACAAATATTGTTTCCAATTGGCATTTGTCTTTTTAATGAACTATTTTGTGCCATATGGAAATTTTACATTTATGTTGACAAACTTATCAATCTTTTCTGGTGGCTTCTGGGTTTTATGTTGTGTTTTGAAGGGCCTTCCCAAGTTAAAAATGATAAAATATCTGCTCATGCTTTGTCCTTGCATTTTAGGGTTTCATGTTTTACATCTAAGTATTTTATTCATTTGAATTTTATTCTGATATAACAAGTGAGGTAGACAATCAGGTTTTTCGATTTGTTTTACAGGCTTTTTTTCTAAATAGGTTGTCAGTTGTCCCAGCATCATTTCCTAAACAACCTATTTTTCTGTTTCTATTATGAAATCAAGCCTTTATCACAGACAGGTTTCCCAGATGCATTTGGCTTTATTTCTGGTCTCCCAATTCTGTTTTATGTGCTGTTATAATCGCTCCATTTTTATGACACATTTTGATATCTAGTAGAACAGCTAATCCTCTCTTCACTATTTTCCTTACTCTATTTTTCAGAATTTTCCTGACATCCTCATAAGCTTATTTTCCCAAATGAGTTGAATATTATTCTGTTGACCTCTCAACCCCATAAAAAATTCACTTGAATTAAGATCATATGAAAGTTATGGATTATAGATTTGTAGATTACTTTATGGATTAATATTATATCTGTCTAGACAAGGACAAGAGAAATGACCTTTACGTTGCTCTCTGAAATCTCTTACCTTAACCTGAGGCCAGGGTGGAGCGGGAGCCACCTGGATCCCCACTGCTGGGAAGTGGACCCTATCTCTGTCTGTTCTTGTCTACCTTCCCCCTGCCTGCAACGTGCATGGGATAAAGCAACATGGACAGACAGAATGTTCTGGTTGGAAAGAGCTACCAGAAGCTCTCCCTTGTCTTCTATCTGACTCCTGAAAGAGGCTCAGTTGTGTATCTGCTCAGAGCCTGCCTCATTTTACCCCTCTCTCTCCAAGTCAGTGCTGTCTTTCAAATAAGACTGTGCTGCTAAGTGCTTAATCACTGGCTGCAGTGGGGGTGAGTGGAGAAGATTGTACAGCATTTGCCAATTTCTGTAGTGTAAATACTCCAACATGGCCAATTTCAAGCTATCAATGTGATATCACTGAACTGGGAGGCATGTGAAAGACTGGCCTCTGTGAGCCAGTGTGAACCAGCTCAGTACATCACACTCTCAGGACTCCAGTGGCAAATGGAGGGCCACTCCCCTTCAGTGTTACAAGGACATCTCAAGTTCATCACGTTCACATTAAACTCATCTCTCCCAGAAAAATCTGCTCTTCCCTCTGGGGAAGGCACCCCCATCTACTCTGCTACCAAGTCAGAAACATGAGATCATCTTGGACTCCTTCTCCCTCAATCCCCATTTTTATCAGCACTACGTTCTGTCAATTCCTCCTCCAAAATATCTCAACAGTCCAGCACTCCCACCAGCCCCAGTGACTGTGCTCCAGTCCAGGTCTTGATTATTGCAAGTGCCTTCCAGTCAGGCCTCCACCTGCAGCCTCTTCTAAACATTCCCCACGCTGGAGCAGGGGGCATCAGATCTTTTTAAACTGCAAATCCGACCTTGTCCCTCCTCAGTTGAACACAACCCAAGGGCTCTCCACTGCCCTCAGGAGAAAGTCCCAACTCCTGGACATTGTGTCCAGGTCCTTCATGATCGGAACCTTGCTTTCCTCAACCTTGCTTTGCTCTGAAAAGAACTTCTCCATTTTTCCAGGGGTTTATAGGAAGTTCTCCTGCTTTGGGGACTCAGTGCTCCTCTCCAGCCTGGTACCTGAGTAACCTCTGTTCATCTTTGATCACAATTTAATTATCCTTTCCTCCTGGAAGCCTTCTCTGCCTGCTCCCACCCCAAGTCAGGTGCCTCTTCCATTTCCCCACAGCTCCCTAACCGCCCCAGCAATGGCTGTTGGAATTGTAAACACCATGGGATTGCTGGTCTCTTTAGAAAAGGGACAATCGGGCTGCAGTCAGGTTTTTCTTGCTTACCCACTACCTAGCATGCAGGAGGTACCTAACAAATATTAATGGAATAAATAAACCAAGAAACACTCAACACGTGCATCCACCTGACCGGGGTGTCTCCTTGTGAACAACAGCCTGCCCCATGGGTGAAGCTGCTGAAAATGGAGGGTGGGGATAGCCTGTCTGACCTTCCCATCTCTAAGCAGCCTGATTGGCTCCTCCTCTCAGCTCCCAGCTCTCACCATGGCCCCTCCCTGGCTGCCAAGCTCATCACAACTCCCTCCCTTGGACTTAACTTAGCAATTTGTTCTCTGACCCTTCTCCTTAGGCTGTGGGTAGAAGAGACTCCTACTTCCCATTGGCTCCCTCCATAGAAGGCAGGAGAATGGGCAGGCTGAGCTTCATCCATCCACTGGGCTAGCCTCAGACTCCCAGAAGTCGTTACCTGAAAAGAAGGCATTGCTCCCCTCACCCTTTCATTGTAAATAGCAGGTCAGGAAAAGCACATAGCAGAACATGGAGATGGTGGCCTGTTGCTGTGGTGGAGCACTGGATGCAAGGGGTCCTGGGTTCTAATCCTGCACTAGCCTCTATGTGTGGGACCCTGGCCAAGCCCCTCCCTCTCTCTGGACTTGTTTCCCCTTTCCAGAGGGCTGTGCTAGACCATTGCTGAGGTCCCTTCCACCCTGACATTTGGTGACTTTTTTTATTTTAAAGAGAGAGGATGGGAGAGGGAGAGAGAGAGAAACATCAATCGGTTGCCTTCCGTATGTGCCCCAACCTGAGACTGAACCCAAAACCTAGGTATATGCCCTGATCAAGAATCGAACCTGTGACCCTTCGGTGCATGGATGACACTCCAACCAACTAAGCCACACCGGCCATAGCAACAGTTGGTGATTTTATTGAAGCCCCGTGGTTCAGGCACCCTTTGAGAAAAACAGCCAGTCTTTCTTCCCACGGTCACGATCTCTTCCCGCATCATCACCGACGTCACCCTTGTGGTCCCTAAGGAAGCCTATCTGAAGGGTATCATCTCTGGTTTTCCCAAGCCCCCAGCCACTGGGTGGAGGGACTAAGACACAGGTCCCAGGCTAAGAACAAAAGGAGCCGTTTGTGGGCGAGCAGTGGATCGGGTGGGCCTCTGCCAGGACCAGGAGTGGGTGTCAGAGGAGGGAATCTGCACTTGGGTATTTGCTCCATGGGTTTCCAGAAACATAATTTGCCCCCTGGAAACTGGAGCACCCCTCCAGATGGTAGTGGGCACTTTCTCCCCTCTGCCTATAAACAGCAAGGCCACCTCACAGCTGCTGCAGTTTCGTGGCTAGAGGGGAGGCCCTTGCAAACCTTCCCAAGAGGTTGTAATTTAGGTATATTTAGTCAGGCCACCCTTGCTAACATCAACAGCAGCACCGAGGCCTGGCCTGGCAACTGCGTCACATGTGGTGTCTGCCACACCCAGAGGCAACGCCTCCACCCCAAGCCCTTTTCATTAACTCACCCATCCTGCCCACCCCCCAAGAAAAGCAAAAACCACTTACAGGGGGGCCGCGGGGACCGATGATGGACATCCCAGCATCTCCTGGGGCCCCCTACGGAAGAGAGAAAGGGGAGAGGGAGAGGGAGCCGGGGCAGGGGCAGGAGGGGAAAAGGGTGGGAAAAGAAGAGTCAGAGGGAGGGCTGGCAGGTGGTGGAGGGAGAGCATGCAAGGGTGGAGGGTCCGCGGAGGAGGAGGCCAGGGGGGCCAGAGGATGCATCCGAGGAGCGGGGAGGAGACACAGGGGGGATGGATGAAGCATCCAGGAAGGATTGAGGAGAGCAGTGGGGAGCAGGAGGAACAGAGCAAGAAGAGATGTAGCAAGAGCACAAGATGTGGGGCCCAGGGAAAGAGGGCCGTAGGACCCCAGGCCAGAAAGCGGGGAAAAGAGATTCGGGCGCAGTGATGGGCAGAGAGCAGCACGGGAAGGAGGGAGGGAGGGAAGTCGGGGACAGCTCAGCCATGGCTGCTCAGGCCCCAGAGGCCTCACCCACGGCCCTGCTCAGGACATTCTCCGACCTGCCCCGGCCCCGCCAAAGTCTCAAACCCCCAGATCTTTCTCACCCCCACCCCTAAATGCCCATGTGGCTGCGCACCCCGCAACAGGTGAACAGCAGCCTGCCCCATGGATGGAGCCGCTGAAAACAGAGGGTGGGGACCAGACACGCTGGCTGGCTGCGTGGGCCCAGCAGCCCTGAGCCTGGGGCTGGAGCTGCCTGGAACTTCCCAGTCCTAGTTTCACAGTGACACAGAGGGGGCAGCTTGGGCCAGAACTGGGTGGGGCGGGGCAGCAGGAGGATGGGGGGTGAATGGAACACACATAGGGTGAGAGGTGAAGCTCTGACCAAAGGACCCAGACAGCGGCCTGCAGGGAGGAGGGCGGGATGCTGGGGCCCATTCAAAACAGCGGCTGTGTGCGCCTTGCCCCCGGGCGGGGTGACTGCCTAAGGCCCAGAATCGGAGCTCCGAGGCCATGGGCAGCCTCAGCAGGCGTGGGCAACCCCCTGCCAGAGAGGCTGGGGCCTTAGCCCAGGAATCCCAGGACTCCTGCCTGATGGTGTGGAAGGTGTTAGGAAACAGGGCCGTGAGAGGCAGAGGGCAGAGCAGGCCCGGCTGGCAGCTCTGCCTCGCCTGCATGCCAGCAGGAGGGCTTAGGGGGCCTCTGAAAGCCCCCTAAGAGTCCACGGCGTGGAAGCAAAGGCTGGGGTGGGAGGGCAGAGGGGAAAGTGTGGACTCACCTTCTCGCCTGGTTGGCCCTTTACTCCCTGGGGCAGCCACATGCAACGCAGGGTGCAGGGGAGAGAGAGGGAGGGAGAGAAAAAAGAAGATGAGAGAGGCACACACACAAGAATGTGTTAATGGCACAACAACCAAGCAAAAGAAATCGCCATGAAATAAGAAACAAAACAAAACACAGATGCTGACACATGACCGGTACCATATCCAACAAGTACAGTGTGTGCACGGCTGTTGCCTCACCCCTTGGTCTGGCCCCAGCCAGCCCTTCCATATAACTGAGGGAGACAGTGGCAGGGGCCTTAAGAGGCCCTCGGTGTGTGTGTGTGTGTGTGTGTGTGTGTGTGTGTGAGAGAGAGACAGACAGACAGACACACACACACACACACACACACATAGAGAGAAACAGAGAGACAGAGAGAGGCAGAGGGAGAGAGACAGAGAGTAGGAAAACCCACCCAGGTCAGCCAATCTGCCTGAGAAGCCATGGCCCCAGCTGGGTGCCATCTAAGGTGGGGGTGGGCATGGGGAGACTTTCCCAAGGACCGAGTTATAAGGTAGAATTTCATTGGTATGAAGGTCTAACTGAGCACCAAGCACAAGAGACACAGCCGGAGTCCTCGGGGCTTGCCAGGATAGATGGCAGAGAGGGGTAGGAGGAACATAGGGGGACAGATAGTAGGACACGTATATCTGGGAGGATGGATGATGATCTGGGATGCAGAGGAAACTGAGTAATGGCCCAGGGTCCCTATAACCATAGTAGCCAGTGGATAGATAGCCCCAGTTGACCCTAATCCATAGAAGCCAGTTGTGCCACCATGAACCACGGGAACAGCTCAGGCATTTCACACCCACTGGCACCCCAGTTCTTATCAGTTGGCTAATGCCAGGACCACTACTGGGCAGCCAAATGGGTCCATTGTCACATTTAAAATAGCACAAGCAGCATGAAGCCCCCAGCTTGATAATAGCTTTGTGTGGAAGGAAATGGGAAGGCCTCCTGTGGCTCTCCCTCCTATCCCACCACTGTGGGCCAGAACTAGGCTCAGAGGGATGCTTTCTGGGGGAACATGTCCACGGGGCCCAAGAAGGAGGGCAGAAGGGGCAGCAGGAGGGGGCAGGCCTGGAAGGGCAGCAGGAGGGGCTGCTTTGCATTTTGCAATCTGCCCTGCAGTCTGATAGCTACACTCAGAGTAGTTTCCTGAATCTTACCTGTTAGGAGCAAAGAGTTTGGAGTCTAACAAAATCCAATTCCACCCCCAATCCTGGGTTGACTGAGTCTCAACATGTCCATCAATAAAGTGGGATCTTGGAGGGCTACCGGGGAGAATGTGCCTGCCTCAGGCCCACCCACAGCAAGCCTTGGCAGAAGGCTGGCTAAATGTCATTTCCCTGCTCTCCACAGAGAAGGACCCAGTGACAGCTTGGGGGAATCAGTGCTTGTAGTCAGAGAACTGAAGGAAAGAGACAGGGTCAGGCAGGAATTCCTGGGGCAAGAACTGCTGTAGCCTGGGGAGTGGTGGGAGGGCCCTTGGGTGGGCCCTGGGGAGCACAAAGCTCTGTGACACGCAACACTTGTCCTGAACCTCTGATGTGTCCCAGGTCCTAGGCCTAGGTACTGTGGCTTCACCCTAGGGACCAGAACCTCCTCAGAGCTGTGATGCCAATGTTGGGGAGGGGGAGTAGCACTGCCAGGGTCAAGGGCACAGGTCTAGGTCAGGCTGCCTGGATTAAAGTCGTTGATCAGCCACTTCCTGGTCATGTGACCTTGGGAGAGACACTTAACATCTGAGCCTCAATTTTCTCATCTGAAAACTGAGGTGGAAACTGTGCCTACCTCTTGCAGCTCTTGCGAGGACTGAGTGAGCTGATGTAGTAAGACTCTTAGCACAATGCCCGCATGCAGTTAGCACTTTCAAGTGTTAGGTGTGGTGTGGATGCCTTTTCTTGAGCACCAGGCTCACACCAGCAAGCAAACAAACTCACACAAGGATTCTCTATCCAGGCCTAAAGCCAACCAGCCCGGGAGGTGAAGTCGTGAGAAAAAGTATGAGTGACATGGAAGGATGCATAGGGGTAATCAAGGAGCCAGGGTAAAGGTTGAGGTTGATGGCAGGAGGGGACTTAGGGTCAGACAGGGTGGTAGTGAGGCTGGCAAGGCCATCACTGCCTTAGGCTGCCAGCCCCTGTCTGTCCTGCCCTTTCTAGCCCGTTGGAGGCTGGAAGCCACCAGGAAAATGCCTAGCACTGAGACCTCAAGGCCTAGCGTCAGCCTTCCCATCCCTGAGATATACTCTCCCAGTCAAACATTCTTGTTTCCCTTTCGCCATCTAATTTTCATCAGGAAACGTTAAATGTTTTGACTCCCAGCCTCCTGGTGAGGATTTGGAAGCACTGCCTGGAGCAAGGCCCGCCTTCACCGTCTTTTAGTCTCTGTCTAGGGAAGATGCATCCAGAAGCAGCTCCACTGGGCTTCCAGAGAGCATTTGGAGGCTGCCTTTCTCACCAGCTTTTGCTGCCTTGCCTGGGTGGGGGCTGGGGGTGAGGGTGGTGGCGGATGCAGGAGCCGCTATAAATCTGAGGGTGGGTTGCCAGCTTTGGGGGTGGCGTGGGTGGGAGTCCTCCCAATGTCAAGAGGGCCTTGGGCCTCACCCTGTTCTCCCACGAGATGATGGGCAAAGAGCTTGACTCTTGCTCTTTCTTGGATTTTCCCTTTACCATGGCAGCTCTCTGGAGAGTAAAGCCATATTGCCAGATCTGAAGGGTTAAAATAAAACTTCTGCCCTTCTCCTGGCCTGGCCCTCTCTGAAGCTGACTTGGGTGGGGGAAGGGAGAGGTCCAAATCCCCCGCCCCTCTTCCTCTGGCTGGGGTAGGCACACCTTGTCATGGTTTGGAGGACAGCCCAGTGTGGAGAAGCAAGCAATGGCCACCCAAGCAGGTAAAAATGCCCCAACTCACCACACGTCCAGGCATCCCAATGGCACCTTTGTCCCCCTGATGAAGGAGGCAGAGACAATTAGATGTGGCTGGAGCTGGGCCAGCATGTGAAGGGCCCCATGGGAGCTGTGCACCCGAGACCTGGTTTGCATGGGTAGTGGGGCCAGTGCCCAGGCATCTCGTGAGTGAACTTGCCCATTCAGCCCCCACGACTGCTCAGCAAACTGCCACCCCTTTCGCTATTTGCACTCAGGCATGGTGCTGTGGTAAGAGCACTAATGTAGGAGTCCGGTCCCCGGCCTAGGCCTCAGTTTCTCTATGTGTTCCATTAGGGGTCCAAGGCTCTTCCCTTAGACTTCAGTTGTCATAATACGTTCCAGCTATGGCCGAATGCACCACATCCTTGTCACACTCAACTTCAAGACACAGAGCAGGGTGAGCGGCAGCTCCCATGTGACAGATACATGAATCGCTCTCCTAGGTCTGTCTTTGCCGAAGCTGGGGAGCAGTGCCCACGCTCCCCAGCTCCTCCCCAGGCCCTCTGCCTGAGAAGGCTACGGACAGAGTCTGTCCACACCCCCTCTGCTCGACCACCTCCAGCACCAACAGGAAGGAACGTGAGCCATGTGAATGCAGCTTCATCATGAGTTTCAGCTGCTCAGAGGGAAATGCTTTGTTTTGTAGCCAGGGTTACATCTTCTCACTCTGGAAATCTGCTTATTAAGTTTTGTTCCTCCCCCTTTTGGTAGAAAACATTTTTTTGCAATTATACGTGTGCAGAGCAGACATCATAAATTCTGGGGTGGGCCTGGGGTTGCTAGGAGCCTGGAAAGATGAAAAGCAATGGGGGCCAAAAATCAGGTGGTGTCTGTCCTGCTGGGCAGGTGAGAGCTGGGTTTGTGAATGTCCCAAAGGCTGTGGGCATTTCTGGGGTGGTTCTGTGTTTGCTGACCCTACTGAGGCAAAATGCCTGGAAGGACATTTAGCATCCCAAGATGTATGTGGACTCACCAGAGAGTAGCATTTGGCTCTGAAATTAGACTCTTGTGACACATACCTTGTCAAGACCAAGGGCATCTTTAGTAAAACACTCAGCCTTTGCTGTGTGGCAGGGCAGCGGTGTTGGTTATGAGCATGGATCTGTTTCCTTAGCCTCCCTGAGCATCTGCACCTCTCTCATGGGGCTGCTGGGAGGCTGCCGTGAGATGAGTCTCTGGAAAGCTCACTCCCAGTGCCTGGCACCTGGTGAGTGTTGTGTAAATGGCATCTACAGGGAGTAAGCCCAGTGGGCAAGTGGATTTTATAGGCATGTTTGTACTTCCCACATTTTGCATTTCACAACAAGGGGCCAGCATCAGCAAATCTTTTGTGGGTCACTCCCAGGTCACTTCATGCAGAAGCATGAACAGGACTATGACCTGTGGCTCAGTGGTCCTCTCTGCTGAGGACACCAGGCCCACTGACCTTCGGGTATGACATCCCCATGGCCCACTTACTCTTGGGCTTTTGAATGATATTGCAGGATGTGTGTTTTGGTTTCTTTTCATTTCTTTTTTAAAACTAATGTTCTTTGCAGTCCTGGCCATAAAACGCTCGGGTTCAGGACAGGCGTGGAATGGCCAGAGACTGGAAACTATGCGCAGCGAGCCCCTGCTCTGTGAATTGCCCCCAAATGCTTTTTAAAGGTGGACGTCGTCAGAAAAAACAAAGTCTGCCCACGTTCCCCCAGTCATCTGATTTTTCCCCTCCTTGGGTTTCATGGGACCGATTCACCCGTCCTCCTCTGCTTCGGGGCTCAGACTTACTGGGAGGGTTTCCATTTTCAAGGCTAAATATTCTCCCACATGCATTTCATTAAGAAAGTAACTGCTGGACATGAGTTCTAGAAGCTGTTGGATTAGTCACAAGGTTTCGGTATAATTCATGTCAAAAGAGGAATAACTGGGATAAGAGGGATGCACATAGAGTCTAGAATTCAATGGATGTGGCCTTCAGAGCAGGGAGAGAGGGCAACCTGGGGCCAGCCCTGGGTCACACACCACACCTCACCTCAGCCCTCTGGCTGCCTACAGCATCTTGCCTGAGTCCCTCCCACCCCAGGGCCCACAGTATCCAGTACTCAGTGCATATATGCCCCAGGCTATACCCCACAGATCAATGTCTTTGAAGACTTTAAAGATGGTTCTCAGACTCGGAGCATGGACCACAGGAAACGACAGTATGGAATGGTGTATGATAACATGAGGTTTACAACTGAAGCTTGGACAATTGGCCAAGGTATGTCACCTCCCTGCATCTCAGTTTCCTCATCTATAAAATGGGCATAATAACCATTTCACTGAGCTGTTGAACAAATCAAATGTATGAACAAATCAAATGAGTGATTGGCATAGTGCCTGGCAGGTATTAAGTCTCAATAAGAGGCAGCTATTAGTATTATTTTTACTTTTATTCCAAAGCCCCCATGGTTACTTGGCACAGCCTCTCTAGCTTCCAGACATGGTACCTGGGTGAACATGAAGTTTTTGGGTCTACTCTCACCAGAGGGCATAGGGCAAAGCAGGGACAGTGGTCTATATCCAAGTTGGTGTGCAGGAGGATGCCCCTCCCGGGCTTCCATTATAGGGCCATCAGTGTGGAAGTCAGGTCCTGTGTTGGAGGGCTGCATGCTGTCACCTGCCTGTCTGGGGACCGGGGAGGTACCAAGGATCTTCATCCTCAGCTATGGGCCAGAGAAGCTGGAGAGAGGCCTCTCACCCAGCTACAGCTGAAGGAAAGCAGCCACCCAACCTCACCAGTGACAGAACCTCGCCAGTGTTTGGGCTGAGAAAGAACATGTGAGGCAGATGCAGAAGAAAAGAGCCATGAAAGCTACTTACCGGGAAGCCAGGTCTTCCAACAGGACCCTGAAATAAAGGGGGAAGAGTGAAGTTTCCGAAGGTAAGGGTATTGTAATACTGATGGTTCCACCCTACCCTACCAACTATGTGACCTTGGAGTCACTTGAGCTCTACAAGCCTCTGCTATTTTATGAACAAAATGAAGGGAGGGCCTTGATCACATTCAACCAGGGCTGACAGCTGGACATCATATATTTCCCTGTATTCCTCCAGAGAAAGAGGCATCCCTACTTCCCTTAGTCATCTGTTTCAGTCTCACACTTCCCATAATTAAGAAATTCTCTCTTAAATCTAGTGCAGGCATGGCCAACAGATGTCAGCGTGAGTGCGGACCTCAATGGGTTGAATTAAGCACTATGTTTAAAAACCTGCTAATTGATTAGCAATGTCTGCCACGGCCATAAGGTTGGGGCAGCGGTGGTCACAAATTTTGAACCACTTAAAAGATTCCTGCTGCTACTAAAAGCCATCATTCTGTGGTTGTGTTTTCCAGGCACTGGTGGTCCTCGTGCCCACAGGAGCCTAGCTAGGTCTCCCAACTGGAGTACAGAGCACCCCAGAAGGGGCCCCTGACATACAACCAGAGGGCAGCAGATGGGCATTGTGACCAGCTGCTATCTCCCCATCTCTCACCTCTGGCCAACAGCAATATTTCTTTGCAGAAGCCGAGAGAACAGGGCTAGGAGGTGATTCCCACCCTGGCCAGCTTCCCATTTCCTCATCTTGCCTGCGGTTTCAGTCCCAGTTGAAAGATTCAGGACTCCTCTGTGTCAGGCTGAGAATGTGGGACAGCTACTTGGGCTCCTCCCCTTCACTTGATGGCTCTGGTGGTGGCCAGGTGAGCAGGGATTATAGGGAGAGACTTGGATGCAACCCTTCTCATTTGCTCCTGTACTGCAAAGCCCATGGCACTGGCAGCGCCCTCTCTGGCTGGGAACAGAAGCTCTCAGAACAACCATTCCTGGTGACGCCAGGCCCTCCAGTCACTCGGGGACCCAGAGCTGAACTGCAGGGTTAGCTCAGCGGCCTGGCTGTGGGGAGAAGTGTATGGGGGAGGCCCCAGGAGTGGGGGAGGTGAGGACTCTTTTTGGCTTTGTCAAGAAAGAAGGGGGAAAGCAGCCCATTTCCAGCAGGTGGTCTGTCGAGGTTTCCTATGGCAGAGTTTATTTTGGAAGATTGATGACAGGAATTGAGATCTGACATCCAAGACTCGCCGTGATCAATCATCCCCCTCCTTTCAGGGAATGACAGGGTTTTCCTCCCTCCCTGGAACTCAGAGGCGGGGAGCGGGGCGTCAGCGTCAGCGCGGGTTCAATGCACCGCGCAGGACGCACGTGGAAGAATAAATAATGTTTTATTACAGACTGCGCTGGCTGCTCTCGCAGGTACCGGTCAAGAGGGAAAAAAACGATGGAAATGCCTTCTCTGAGGGACAGATGAAACCCGGCTGCTTTCAGTAACCTTGAGAAAGATCTGATGCCGAGGGCTGGGCCCTTTCAACTTCAGTCTCCAGCCGCCCCCGCGACCTCTGGGTCTTTTGTTGGGGTATCAAATGCTATCCTTAAGAAGACACGCTCCTGTTCTCTGGACCTATTACTTCGGGGGCGAGTCTCCTTGAACACTTCTCAGGTTCTCTGGAAGTGACTTGGCTCCCCGCCCTGCCCTGGGCCTGTGACGATGCCAGGGGAAGGAGCTTGCAGTGCTGTCTATAATTTGTGTTGTTTCCGAATCTAACTGCTGACACTGCTCTCCTAACAACCACCACCACCACCTGCCCAAAGTGACGTGGCTATAATGGAGCTGCCCACACAGCGGGGTGAACATCACATCCTTGGGACCAGTCCACACTTACAGCCACTCACTGACCTGTTTACTGAATGGGCAGGAGACCCCCCAAGGACTGAAACTGAATAGAGATGATCTCTTTCTTCTTTTTAATACCTGGTGCTTCTTTGAGTCCAGTTCTTTGGTGGACAAAGGAGCTGGCTAACAAAGGGGCATGCCAGCCTTTCAGATTGAAATTGGGACCTGCTCTAGGGGCGGCCGTTGTCTGGCCCTGGAGGGGTGCAGAGGTGCACCGAAAGCAAAGTGGTGGCCCTCTTCCCTGTGTCAATGTGTTGGAGGTGAGATAGGCCAGTAAACCAGGGCAAGTAGAACAGGGAAACTGAGACAGCTGAGCAAACTGGCCGAGCAATTTACAGCTAGGTGAAGAAGGTCACCTTCCTAGAGATAACATCTAGGCCTCAGTTGAATTTCAGCTCCAGGCTCAGAAAAGCAGCAAAAGCAGGTGGGCAATGCCAGGACAAGCTGCAATGACTAAGGAACCCCTGCCCTGGCGCTGACCAATCAGTATATGACCCTGAAAAAGCACACCTGGAAAACTGATGAATATTCTGCTGAAACTCTCCCCTGAGACCTCCCCTAAGATTCCTGCCTGCAAGAGAGATATAACCCTCAAGACAAAGAGCTCAGTGTGTGCTCTCCCTCTGGGGAGCATGCCTGCACCATTTCCCTTCCCCTCCTCTTCCCCACAGGCATGCATCTCCTAAACTCTAAGGGACCCCATAAAACTTGCAACTAGGGGAGCAATGGGCAGCCACAGTTCGTCCTGGGCTAACCCCCTGCACCTGTCCCCAAGGTCTTCTTTTCTCTGGCTTCCCAGAGAGCTAAAGTAGCCCCACCTCCACTCATTTCTTTCCTATAACATTTTTAGAGAACAAAAGCAGCCCTGCCTAGGCTCTCCTATTGCTTCTTCTACGCTGAGCCCTTCCTTGTTTCACTGTCCCCAGCTTTAATAAACGTACCCTAATAGTCACCTGGACTTGCGTTGTGAAATTTTTCCTGCATGAAGCCAAGAACCCACACACTACCGGCTGGCCCCAGGCAGACCCTCCTGGGGCCAGGTCCCTTGTTTGGTAACAGAGGGAAACTGCAGACTTCTCTGGAGAGTGTAGGGGCTCCCCTGGAAGACAGCAGGCCAGCTGTCAGTCCCCCCACCCAGGACCCAGTTACCAGCAGGGAGCAAGGCCTTTCAGATGTGTGAGACCAGGCTGCAGCTGGAGTTACTTACAGGAGGTCCTGAAAGAGAGAGAAAATGCCAGGGTCAGTGTCGCTGATGAAAGTGTGGGGAGGGCTGCCTTAGAAGCAGCGTCCAAGAATTCTTCAGCGGAGGGGTTTCCATCTGGTCTTCGATGTTTGTATTTTCCTGGCCCACTTTCACCAATATAATCGCTTCTCCCTTTATTTCATCTCCAAATTTTCATAATTGGATGAGAAATTCAGAGGTCTGGACCCCAGGCACAGCCCTGCTAGGCCCTAACTTCCCGCCTCAGCTTTCCACCCTATAAAATGGGCTACTTGGGATGTACCTCAGCTCGTGTACACAGTTGTTTTGTGGCACACAGGGTGGTGGGGACCAAGGCCCATTGCAAAAGGTCAAAAGTATAACGGAACCCAAAGAGATTATGATTATCAGCATTGCTATTGTCCTCTGCAGGCTTCCATGAAACGCAACAGAAACACCCAGGAAGCAGCAGGGTGGAAGGAAGCTTTTCATTGGGTTCCCTGCCTGAGGTCTATCGGCCTGTCCTGGTTTCTGTTCAGCTGTGAGTCAGGCGGTTCTGCCCTCCTGGGTCTACTGCCCACTGCTTCTTTCTCACCTCCCACCTCTGCTCCAGCTCCACGCCCCCCTCTTTCCCCTTCCCTTTTCCTTTCCCTTCCCTTCCTTTCCTGTCCTTTCCTTCTAGTTGTGTCCACTTGCCTGCCTCCCTCCCACAGGCCTCAGCAGTAGCCCTATCTCATTACTGACAATGGCCAAGAATTACAAATTCAAACGCTCTGCAAAAAGGGGCAGGAGGATGGGAGGGGAGGGAAGGGAGAGCAAAGCATCCGAGGGAAGATAGTGAACTAGAAGGTATTTCTGCAGAACATGAGTCATGAAACCCCCAGGGCCTGTGGGATTCCCAGCTGGCCCTGGTGCCTCTGCCCAGCCCCTGGCGACCTGGCCACTTTAACACAGCTGCTACTCCAGTTGCTTCTTTTATGCTCAGCCAATAAAGGCTCCTTGTGTTTCCCCTCGCTCCTCACGTTCCCAAAGCCGGCTTCCTTCTCTCCACCTTCGTCTGCCAGCTTCTCTGTCCTGGTCCCCATCCAGAAAGAAACATCCTCTTTGTTGCTGGCCTCTGTCAAGCCATCATGTTAAGGGGGAACAAAATGTTTTAAATTAAAAAATAAAAAGTCAAGAGGTGTAGTGACTGGGTGAGGGGGCCCCAGGCAGCCCTGCAGGCCAGCGCAGGCTCTCACAACAGCAGCGGGGAGGGAGGCTGAGGGAGGAGGGCAGCATCTGGGACCTATTAGGCTGAGGGGCAGGGGAATGTCACCCAGAATCTGAAAATATCCCCCGAGTACAGCTTGCTAGAGGGGCCAGCACAGCTGGAAAGTCCTTGCCTCCTGGCTGGGGGAAGTATCCTCATGAGAAGCAGGCTGGTGACAAAGTTCGGCCCACAGCAATTTTTGGATGGTCCCATGACCTCCGGGCCTGCCAGTGCCCTGGCTCTCAGTGCTGCAGGCTGCAAGGGGGTCCCTGGTGATGCAGCAGAGCTCTGGCGATGGCCCTGCCCGTTAGCAGCCTCGGCTGCATGGCTACCACCAGATGTAGCCGGGTAGCTAATATGGGATTTGGCACTCTGCCGGGTCCCAGAAGAGCCATTTGCTAGTCCGCCCTAAGTGATTTCAATTATCTGGAAGATTTCAAGTGTTTTCGTATCCACCGCAACCATCACTGCACATACCTCTGGTCCTTACTCCGTGCCAGGCACGATTCTGAGCGTTTTCCTTTTGGGAGAAGGTTCTATTACCCTCAGCTTGCAGATGAAGAAACAGAGGCATGGAAATGCTGAGTTACTCCCCCATAGTCCTTCGCTACAGTACCTCTATCCATGTCTCTCAGTCAAAAAGCAACTCACCCCACCCAGAATTGCACGTAGAGCGGCTCCCTCTCCACACCTCTCCCCTCCTCTCCTCTCTCCACACCCAGCCCTCCCAGCTCTTTCCTGGATCCTTTTTCTGATGCAGGAGAGTGTGGCTCTGCCCCTCCAGGCTAGCATCCTCCCCGCCACCAACTTCAGCAGCGGGAAAGCACCTACAATATTTGTCAGTTACTTCTGTACCTTAGGAAGGGGAAGGGAGACAGGAGAGTTATTNACCCGTCCTTACACCAACTTCAGCAGCGGGAAAGCACCTACAATATTTGTCAGTTACTTCTGTACCTTAGGAAGGGGAAGGGAGACAGGAGAGTTATTGAAAAGGCTTCTGCTATCACAAACACCCCTCCCTCGTCAATGACAATCCTGAAGGGTTCCCCTAGAAAATTTTTAGCCCCTTGGGAAAACTGAACTGCTGCCCCGCCCCTGCAGCTTTCATCAGACTTCTAGGTTTCAGAGCAAACGCTGCACCTGACGCTGTGTTCAATGCCCTGCAGCACCAAGGTGCCTGGGGAGACAGTGGCTCTGTGAAATCCAGCAATGCCTTGACGTCACTGGTTGGTCTTCTGTGTGAGCCACTTGCTCAGTAACATGGCTATTGACTGGCCTGTCTCCCTGGCCATGCATCAAGGATATGATTGTCCCAAGCATCGTCAAGTCCCCACTGTATAGATGGAGAAACAGAGGCCCAGGGAGGGTAGTGACCATGCAGGGTCACTGTGTGGCTGGGTGACTGGAATGGGAGCAGAACCAGGTCTCCTGACTCCCTAGTCATGGGTCTCCCTAACAAAGCACACTGTCTCTTATGCCTGTGTAGTTGGCCCTGCAGAGGTACAGCCACACCACCACATCCTGAGGGAGGAGGACCCCACCCACACCTACTGCAGCAGGGCGAATCATGAAGACTGTCCCAGTTCCCCTCCCAGTTCCCCGGGGGGAGCAGAGCAGCCTGCCGCAGGCCCCCAGGGAAGGGTCCCCAGCAGCTGCCAGGGTGCGGCAGTTCTGCCCAAGATCTTCCTCTGTCACCCACTGTCATGGTTAGGACATGGCTGTCCTTCCCAGGGTTTGGCTGACCTCCTAGTAAGCAGTAATGTCCCTCCTAANGTCACCCACTGTCATGGTGAGGACACGGCTGTCCTTCCCAGGGTTTGGCTGACCTCCTAGTAAGCAGTAATGTCCCTCCTAAATTACATGTAGGAATGGTTTCCTAGGGAGAATCCTGGGGTAGTATTCTGGGTCATNCTGTCACCCACTGTCATGGTTAGGACATGGCTGTCCTTCCCAGGGTTTGGCTGACCTCCTAGTAAGCAGTAATGTCCCTCCTAAATTACATGTAGGAATGGTTTCCTAGGGAGAATCCTGGGGTAGTATTCTGGGTCATGGCTTGCTTTGGCCACTTTTTATATATTCATTCATTCATTCATTCATTCACTCAAGAAACTTTTAAAAAAATATATCTTTATTGATTTCAGAGAGAGGAAGGGGGAGAGAGAGATAGAAACATCNTCTTTGGCCACTTTTTATATATTCGTTCATTCATTCATTCATTCATTCACTCAAGAAACTTTTTAAAAAATATATCTTTATTGATTTCAGAGAGAGGAAAGGGGAGAGAGAGATAGAAACATCAATGATGAGAGAGTCATTGATCGGCTGCCTCCTGCACGCCCCCTTCTGGGGATCGAGCCCACAACCCAGGCATGTGCCCTGACCGGGAATCGAGCCACTATCTCCTGGATCCTAGGTCGATGCTCAATTGCTGAGCCACGCCCGGCCGGGCTCAACAAACACTTAATGATCACCTACCATGTCAGTTTTTGTGCTGGGCTATGACTCCACAGAGATGAATAAAGCACAGTCATTGCCCTTTGCGGAAGGAAAACTTCATTTTTTAAGCACCGAATGTCTTCCAGGCCTGATGCTACGCTCTAGTGATACGGAGATGAATAACGCATTTTCTCCTGCTGAGAAGTCAACAGTTTCCTATGTTAGAAAGCTGGAGAAAGTCCAGAGAAGAGGCCTAAGACTAACAAAAGGATTTAGGAGAAAGGTTTGCTGCAGAAGGATTCATTCTTTCAGTCAACAGCTTTCACTGAGTGCCCATTACGTGCAGGTGTAATGCTGAGTATGGTCATTATAACAGGACATTTAATCCTTGCAGCAGCCAGGCGAGGCTGGCATTGCCATCTTCATATCATAGACGAGCAACCTAAGGCTCAGAGGTAAGCAACCTGCCTAAGGTGGTCTCCTTGTTTTAAGTGGCAGTGTGTGAGGTTTTTCTTTTTCTCTTTTTAGGTTCAATTTCCATATAGTAGAGCCTGAATTTGAACCAGCTCTCTCTTACCAGGAGCCTGTGCTCTCCATCTAGAGGTCATGAAGGTCATCAGGGGTGGGATGACCTTCCAGGTAAACTCTCACACCCTCCCCAAGGGCTTGGCTTTGCCCAGACCCTGGATCCAGTCCTGGTCCTGATTAGGAAAGGAAAGAGTGATAGGATGTGCCCAGGGTCAACGTTGTATGAGCTGTGATCTGACCCTGCTTGACTGCTGGGCTCCCAGCAGATGGGGTCCTAGCCCTGACCCATGCCTGCTGGTGCTTGTTGCCAGGCTGCCTGAAGCTGACCACCTGCCATTTGGCTCTGCCACGTGCCAGCCCACTCATTCTGCCAGGACAAATGCTCTGCCTCCAGGGCTCTCCTTTGAGCTGGGTGACTAACAGTGCCTGTCACGCTCTATTTGTTGGAGCAGGGATTCTCAACTGGAGGGGATTTTGTCCCCCAGGGGATAGTTGGCAATATTTGGAGTGATTTTTGATTGTTACAACTACCTGCTCTGGCCTCTAGTGGGTAGAGGCCAGGTGTGCTGCTAAACATCCTACAATGCCCAGGCAGTTTCCTACAACAAAGCATTATCTGGCCCCAAATGTTAATCGAGAAGCCTGCACTGGACTAATGGGACTAGTGCTGCTTCCAGGCTCCTCGTGTGCCTATGGTTCTGCCTATGCCCCTGGGTTGGGGCGCCAGCCCTCACTCCATCCTGTGGTTTGCCAACTCTTAGGATCCCATTATTCTATAGGTTGGCCTTTTCTACCTCAAGA